AAGATATTTATTTACTAATTTATATAAATTACTGTATACTACTTAATTAAATTTATTATTTTATAGGATTTTTATTCGAGAAAATTAAAAGAGACGATAGTTTTTGGAATGAAAAAATTGCAACTCAGCTTACCACATTTTATATGGACTTTGGACTTTCTGTTAAAACAGTTAATAAAAGATGAATATTAAAGTAAAATACTATTATAGTTTTAGTTTTAGAGGTAGGTACCTACATTTATTTAAAAATGTCTTACCAATGATAAAATTACAATAATACCTATATTTAATCTATTGTCTTACAAAAATATAAGTGTAACGAGTTATGAAAGTTTATACCTAATAGATATATAGAAATTAAATTTTTATAATTATTTTATAGTAATACATAAAATAATTGTATATGTTTTATAACGATAAATATTTTGTAAACCCGTTACTACTATATTGTATTTTATCAGTTTTTTAAACATTAACTTTTTCTTCATTTATAGCCCCAGCTCAATTTTGCAGACCAATCATAATTTCCATTTTCGTATTTATTTCATCAGTTAAAGATGTTGATGATATTTCAGATATTTATTTGTGTACTGTAATAGTAATAATATCATTACACAATTGCTATCTGGGTATTAGTTCGAATTTTGAAAATATTTATCAAATTTAAAATGTTATTATATAATTTAATTTTCATAGCTAAAGATTGAAAATTTAAAATAATGTTCCACGTAAATAGGTTGTACATTTATACTGTATTCTCAATGAAACAGCTCATAATAACAAGTCAAAATATTTTCAAAATTTTATCAAGTATAAGAAAATCATAAAATAAACATATGATGTAAATTTAAAAAAACTACGGTTTTTCATTTATTTACAATCAAATAGGAAATATCCAATGTTGTAAAAACTTCACACTCATAAAAATATAATTTGACTTATCAGTGCACATTCCAGTACACAAGTCTTAAATTTTATTAACCTGTACCTGTATTTTCCATCTTTTTTTAGTTTTTTTTCTAAAAATATCAATAAAATTATGTTTGTTGGTTGCGAAAAGTTGAAAATTTAATAGAAGGCTCCTAGTATATTGTTTCAAAGGCAGATGAAAAATATTAAAAATCCTTTGTCACAATTTTTTTTTATAATCATTTAAAGTTCAAAAATTGACAAAATATGGAAAAATCACGAAAATTAGCAAATTATTTTGAGTTAAGAATTCGTAAAAATTTTTATTTTTAAATCTAAGATTTGAAAATGTAATACAAAATTCCTTATAAAATTATCTACCTTTATCAAACAAAAAAAAATGTCTATAAGAATGTCAAATTAAATTTTTATGAGCGTTTGAAATTCAATTTTTTACAACATTGGATATTCACTCGATTTCTCATGTAGCGATTTTACTTATTTTGTTGTAATTCAAAAACGAATAACTGTAGATACATGAAAATTTCACTGAATGTTTAAATTAGCATTTCCTATACACCATACAATTTTGAAAATATTTTGACTCTTTTTAGCCGTTTACGGACATTTTCGGTTTTCAATTTTTTTAGTTTTTTTTTTCTATAAATGTCAATAAAGTTTTATCTGTAAATATAAAAAAAAAATAGACAGCTCGGCCATTCCGTCCCCCATATTATACGATTATTATACCTGTTAGGTATAATATTATAGGGTATTACCACTGGGCATCCTAACTAATCGCATGATTCATGTTAACCTTTTATTATTCACTTACCAAACCTACTTATTGTACAAAAATTAATGTATAGATTGTAGATTTATTTCAATAAAAAAAAAAAAAAAATATTTGACAATATAATCACTAATTAATAAATGCGTAACTAAAAAAAATATAATTAATCAAAATATCTATAGGTACTGCAGGGTACACACCACACGACTTTTTTTATATCCTGGCATGATTTTGTTGGAGGCACAGTCTGTCGGGGGGGGGGGGGGGCAGTACCCACCCGGCCCCTCTCGTAAACACTCCTATGTTCACAATAATATCATCAAATATACTTAGTAATATTATAGGCTGACTGACCGTTTTCGCTCAGAATCGTTTATCTTATACAATGATATTATATCATTGGATTCAAATTTGACACCATCCATTACAGCGATCCACTTGTATACTACTGTACAGCAGAGCGATTTTTTTTTATTTATATTTTTATTTATATTTTTATTTATATTTTTATTTATATTTTTGTGTCTGTCATCACGTTTTGGGACAGTAAAAGTGCTTCGATTTTCTTCAATAGTACCTTTTCAGATAGGAAAGTGAATCTAGTTGGTACTTTGGGGCGTCAAAAGTAAACATTTTCCAGTAGTTTTCACAAGCGCCGGGAAAAACAACATAAAAATTAAGGAAAAACGGGAATTTTTACGCAAAATCGATTTTCCAAAAAATCGAATTTGGTTTTTGGTGTAACTTTAAAACAAATGACCGTAGATACATGAAATTTTCACTGGTTGTTTATATTTGCATTTTCTATACACGATAACATTTTCAAAATATTTTGATTTATTTGGAACTGTTTAGGGACATTTTCATTTTTCATTTTTTTTTAGTTTTTTTTCTAGAAATATCAATAAAATTTTATTTGTTGGGTGCGAAAGCTTGAAAATTTAATAGAAGGCTCCTAATATGTTGTTTCAAAGGCAGATGAAAAATATTAAAAATCCTTAGTCACAATTTTTTTTTATAAGCATTTAAAGTTCAAAAATTGACAAAATATGGAAAAATCACGAAAATTAGCAAATTATTTTGAGTTAAGAATTCGTAAAAATTTTTCTTTTTAAATCTAAGATTTGAAAATCGAATACAAGATTACTCATAAGTTTGTCTACCTTTATCAATAAAAAAATCTCTACCGGACAGTCAAGTTAAATTTTTATGAGCGTTTGAAATTAAAATTTTTACAACATTGGATATTCACTCGATTTCTCATGTAGCGATTTCTTTATTTTGTTGCAATTCAAAAACGAACTACTGAAGATACATGAAAATTTCACTGAATGTTTAAATTAGCATTTTCTATACACCATACAATTTTGAAAATATTTTGACTCTTTTTGAGCTGTTTAGGGACATTTTCAGTTTTCAATTTTTTTAGTTTTTTTTTTTATAATTGTCAATAAAATTTTATTTGGTGGGCCAAAAAGTCTGAAAATTGAATACAAGCTTTCTTATATATTGTTACAATATCAGTTGAAAAATTTTAAAAATACATAAGCACGATTTTTTTTATAAGCATTTAAAGTTGGAATTTTGACAAAATTTATCAAAATCACGAAAATAATCAATCGTTGGAATTAAAAAATTAAAATGTTCAGTTTTTATAACTAAGAGTTGAAAATTTAAAACAAAGATTCTCTTAAATAATTCATACTGTAACCAAAAAATCTAAAAAATATATAAACACACTTATTTTTTACAGACATTTTAATTTCAAATTTGGACGAAATTACATATTAAAAAACCTAGAATAACTATTTTAGTTATTTTGTTGTGATTGAATAATATTATTCGTGGGTACTTGAAACTTCTAAAGTGTACTATTATATATCTATGATAGTATCACGGTTTTTGTTGATGTATAACGCGTTATAAGTATCTAATGGATATTGTGATATGATTAATTTGGAATTTATTATAGGTACCTATTATAGGTCAATTTTTTGTTTAATACCATAGATATGTATATAATATGTCTTATACTAGACTGACATACCGTCACCGCTCAGATTCGTTTTTCTTATACAATGATATTAGATCATTGAATTCAAATTTAATACCATCCATTATACAGTGACCCACTTGTAACCTACTGTACAGCAGAGCGACACCCACTTGCCCACCTTTTTTTTTTCTATGAATATCAATAAAGTTTTATCTGTTGGGCCAAAAAATGTAATACAAGGCTCCTGATATATTGTTTCAATATCAGTTGAAAAATATTTAAAATACATAGGCACAATTTTTTTTTAAGCATTTAAAGATCGCATTTTGACAAAATTTATCAAAATCTCGAAAATTATCAATCATCGTAATTAATAAATTATAAAATGTGCAGTTTTTATAGCTAAGGATTGCAAATTTAAAACAAAGGTTCTCATAAGTAGTTCATACTGTACCTAAACAAAAAATCTAAAAAATACACAGTTATTTTAAATTCAAATTTGGACGAAATTACATATTAAAAAACCTAGAATAACTATTTTAGTTATTTTGTTGTAATTGAATAATATTATTCGTGGGTACTTGAAACTTCTAAAGTACACTATATTATATATCTATGATAGTATCAGGGTTTGTTATCGATGTATAACGTGTTATAAGTACCTAATGGATATTGTGATATGATTAATTTGGAATTTATTATAGGTCAATTTTTGTTTTAATACCATAGATATGTATATAATTTGTCTTAAACATAGACATACCGTCTTCGCTCAGAATCGTTTTTCTTATACAATGATATTGTATCATTGAATTCAAATTTAATAGCATCCATTATACAGTGACCCACTTGTAACCTACTGTACAGCAGAGCGACATCCACAATGGATTCCACATACCCACCTTTTTTAAGTATTAAATTCAATTTGATTCTCTAATTTATCAATGAAACTATTTGTAACAGGACAAGGGCTATAAAGACATAGTGTTCTCTTCTAGGTTTTGAACTATATTTTATAATATATTATGTTAATTAAATTTACTAACTCTTTTAAACATTGTATATATTGCAGCCTAGTACCAAAAGGAACCAATTACATTAAATATTTATTTCGATAGAAGTCTTAATATTAAAAATTATTTACGTTTTGAACATAATTATTTCTGTAAACATTTTAGGAAACCTTATAATTTTTAATATTATAACCAGGTTTGTCGTGAAATATATAAATTAACTAGGCTTGTTTTGTACGATGTTAATGTTATGTACTTTAACTGGCTTTAATTGATATTGAAATTGAATTTAAGTTACCGAGTAGGATGATGCACTTGAGGCTGGTATTCTTTCTTTGCACAAAGCCTGGTAGTCAAACATAGGTATACGCCTAAATATTTTTTTGGATATCATTGTTTCCATTATAACTCCAGTACTCTTTAATTCGGTTTGTGCAAAAAATCTGCCAGTATCTGCTGGAATTTCTGACAGTACGACATATCCGTTTTCGTTAATTATATAACAATCAACGTGGTCAGATGTGCATGGTAAACAACTTGGGCACTAAAAATCACTAAAAGTTAATAAAAATAATTCAATAAAAATAAATTTCTAACATTTTCATTGGTCTGCGTGATTTCCATAAAGCGATCATAAAATTTCTAGTGTAACATTTCATATCCAACTACTGACCCCGGTGCTTCATTATTTTCATCCTCAACAAATATAACATGACTGGCAGTGATTTTTAGTTTATCATTGTCTCCTATTCATAAAACATAAATGCAGAAGTTGAAATATTAATTTTATTAAAATACCCATACAAAACTCAATACCAGAATTAAAAGGCACTGAAAATACAAATGCTTGTGGATTAAGGTTACGATATAGTACCGGACGCTTATACCAAACTTCCTCAACCGATCGGTTATGGACATCTCCAAACTGTCTAAATTTAAATACATACAACTATTAACTAATTTTTTCTTAACAAATATTTGTAAAATTAATCATAATAATAATATTGTTTATTATGTATGATGTACATACAATTCACCTTCAGCCAGATCAAGTATATGTTGCCATCTACTCAACCCTCCTTGGGTCGCCAAAAAACTGACACTAACATTATATTGGTTTACATAACGTTTCCTATAGACCAAAACAATTCATTTAAAATTATTAAATTATTATTTCAGAATACAAAAACATTATATATTTTTAAAACTTACTCAAATTCTGAAGTAGGATTCCAGGTTGAATTGTAGAATGCATGTGTTATTTTTGCATCAAAAAATAGAAGTTGCATTAATTCTTTATCGCCTGAAATAGTGAAATTTAAACCAATATTAGCAAAATATATTATATTCTGGGTTAAGTTTCTGAGATTAACTTACAGTAGAACTCATCTATGTCTATTGGTTTTCTGTCACATTCCCCTATTTACCATACAATAAAATTAAATCAACCAGAGGTATTTTATTTTAAAATATAATTGCCCTTACGTCTATCAAAATCATCCATTGAAATATTTTCAAAATTTGAAGCTGGATATTGCTCTCTCCATTCCCAATCTGGAGAAAATATTTTTTCCATAAAATGAAGCAATTTTTCTTCAGGATTTTCAAATTTTCGCTCTGATGAATGAAAATAATCACAATACACCCTGAAATGTTTGGATAGTGGAAATTTATAAAATATGTTAACTTAAAATTGAAAACAATATTTAATTAATATACCAGTTTGGATGAATTTTCCATTTATCTTGAAAATATTTATCAAATGGTTCATCTAAAACATATAATACTTATCAATTAGGTACTTCCTAACTATAAAATATTTATTCTTCAAACATTTTATTTAAAACATTTTACTTACTCTTTTCTATTAATTTATTAATTTCATCGCCAGCTTTAATCCAATTATTACCATAAGAGGTAGGTAACACTAAACCAAGTGTAAAAGGGCCTTCTATTTTTGGGTCTAATGCAGTATAATGATAATTACGAACTTCAGACCCAACTCTTCTCTAAATAAATAATATGCCCTCTAATTTATTCTTACCATCTAAAATCTATATTTATAGTTTATTATTAATTATTATTACTATACCACATTGTCGTAGTGAAACTTAATGCTTAAATTTCCCATTGATCCACGCTTGTGATTTACAATTGCTTCCCTCAACTACTTAAATAACAATATTCAAAATGTATTAATTTTTTTTCAAATGATTAATAATATTACTTCATACTTGAACTATATCATGATGTGGCTGTCTTGGCTCTTCATCGTTATCATCCAACATTTCCAATTCGGTAAGGTCAATACTATTGTTGCGTAGAGTCATATGCACGACGGCGTTATATGACGTAACGCACGTATATCGTAGCCGTGACTCTACGTCACGGCAAACCAGTCGTCGCACGGACAGCCACATTGTCACACATCGTCGCGACGATCTCAAAGGGAATAAATCCGTCGTTTATTATACTATTACATACATATTAATATTCAACGACAAAGTGATCCTATTATATCCTTGTGGTGCCAGCGTCATCATGCGCCTTGTCACATGTGATGCAATGAGTATTTATTGGTAATACACGTCCTATGTACACACCAATTTAAATACGATCTACATACGTCAACATTGTCCATCACCGTCACTTCACACATCTCAACTCATCAACCATTTTGGAGCTATTGCCAGGCCATCGCGCATACGGTTGTCGTGAGTCGGCTATACGCCATATTATTGTAACTGTACTTATATCTATTATTATACTTGCTATAACTTATTATTATTGTATTTTACTACTTGCTATTATTCTTCTTATTATTATTATTATTGCCATATTACTAACACCGTTTATATATGTAATGTGATTATTCGTATCAGCCTTCGAATTATTATTTATTTATTCTACACTAAACACCAGCGTTGTTATTCTTTCAACCACCTCTCGTCAAACACAGTAGAACTCTATGAGGTTCACCATCACCGGTAAATTTATATTCATCGCGTGGCCAACAATCTCGTTACCTCTTTAACGAGACTTGGTACGCATCATTTGGTCCTTCGAACCGGATGGTGGCCTTTATGAGGATTTAACTACTTGTGTTTTACTTGTGGTAAACTTATTTAGTAAGAATCATGAGGAGTTAAGTATTCATTTAAAAAAAAAAATTTTTGTTAATACTCCACTCACTCTGTATACTCCTGACATTGTTCCACATCCATTGGCTGCGATATTTTGGGTCTCGATATCATATCTCACTTTTACATTTGTTCACGTACAAAGTTCAATTCTGCATCGATTCTTGAGTGTAACAAGTTTATCATAGCACAACGAAATATACTGGTCAACCTTGAATTTACGTTTATGTTGGTTTTTACGATAACTACTGTTGTGCGCCGTCGTCGCCGTCGCCGCGTCTAATCTTTGGACTTTGGACTGTCCATCGGTAACTCGTCGGCCATCACGCGAGGATACAGATTTATCTGTTCCGTGATCGCTACCGGTCTTCGTCAATTAGTCGCGTATCGGCAACAATTGTTTAACGACGTCAATTACGATAGCTAATTTAAGGTCCGGGTAATGATCATTAGTCTGAAAAAAGGGATAAAGATAACACAAACGTTATTTCTTATTACATTCCGACCTGTGTATGCATATCGTTAATCATTATTTAATACATATTGATATATTTACGTAAGCTTCAAATTTCAATCTTGGATTTTCAAGTAAATAACTTAAAGTTGAAGCGTCATTATGTCGCTGACCGCAGGAGATCGGGAGCGACTCGAGCGATTACTAAAACGAAATATTTATAAACGAGACCAAGCCGTGGAGCAAATTTCGATTTTAATGGGTGTTGTTAATAGCACAAAAAGTGAACAGGCCGATATCGCGATACTGCAACCGAGACTGGATGATCTTGAAATGTTAATTACCGACGTCCGTCTCTATCAAGATTCGATTTTAGACGGGTTTATCGAACTCGACCGCGATAGTGAATTCATTACAACACACCACCCGATAGGAAAACTCGCATTAGAACAATATTATACCATAAAATCTATATGCAATGAAATTGGTTTAACTAAGCAGAATCCAGTTTCACCACCTACCACACGAAATATTCAACTACCAAGAATAGAATTGCCGTCGTTCGACGGAAATATTCTACATTGGCGAGCCTTCCGTGACACATTCGTATCTTTAGTGCATGACAATGATCAAGTACCACCGATTCAAAAATTCCATCATCTATTGTCTGCCGTATCAGGTTCGGCGGCTGCTACGGTAAAATCGGTTCCATTGATTGAAGCCAATTATCCAATTGTATGGCAAAATTTGAATGATCGCTTCGACAATAAACGTGTGCTTTTGGGTGCACATATGGATACGCTTTTTCGAGTTTCTCCTATAAAAACCGAATCTCTTGTGGAGTTAAACAGTTTCTTAACTACATTCCAGGAAAATATAGCAGCGATAAATGCGCTCGAAGTCGATGATTTTCCTGGTTTCTTTTTATTTTATTTTGCGGCTCGTATATTGGATCCTGTAACTCGTCAGGCATTTGAATTTGAATATCACGCCGCTGAAGTACCTACTTTCGACATGTTGGCTGAGTTCGTACGAATTCGGTGCCAAATGTTACAAAATTCAAGTTCAATAACAAGACCTAATGATGGGCACAAAAATAATTTTAAATCTAAAGTCTCATTAACTACATCGTCGACTTATCCGACAGTATTATGTGTGATATGTAAAGGCAAACATTCATTGTATCAGTGTCCAAAGTTCATCCAGCAGAACGCGAAACAACGTTTTCGGCTTGTGAAATCAAACAGGTTATGTACGAACTGCTTAAGTTCGTCCCATAAAACGTCTGACTGCGAATCGACATATACCTGTCGTCACTGTGCACTCAAACACCATTCTTTATTACACCTGGAGACCGCACAAACGCGAAAAAATTCCTGTCCTACGAATAAAAGTATCAACGTTAATCAATCGACACCCACGCCCTCGGCTACACCCGTACCAACCGTGTCTAATACGACCGACAGTGTGCCGTTTGTGGGGACGTCTAGTTCGAAAACCAACGTAGTACTGGGTACAGCGGTTATACGCATACGTAATAATTGTGGGCAATTATCTCCCGTTCGTGTGCTTATTGATACTGGGTCACAAATATCCGTCATTACTACTGCGTGCGTATCAAGATTGGGAATCAAACGTAGGCATTGTAATACCGCGGTAACTGGTTTGTCACAAACATCGGTATCTACAACAAAGGGCTCAACTAATTGTACTTTACTACCACGTCACTCGACATCACCAGAAATTTATTGTGAACCTGTAATTTTGTCTAGGATTACTGGACCGATGCCGAACGTACTATTACCTAGTAACATTCGTACCACCTATTCGCATTTAACGCTTGCCGACCCTCATTTTGACGTACCAGGTCATATCGATTTCTTGCTGGGCGCAGATATTTACCCGTATATACTAGGACAATCTTGTCAGGTACTACATACCTCAAATTGTCCATCAGCTTTCGAAACACGTTTAGGGTGGATAATAGTGGGTCAATCTTCTGCGGACTCGCGTACACCCCCGGTTTCCTTATTGTTGACACCGGAGCCTTCGATAGACCATCTAATCCAGCAGTTCTGGGCCGTCGAAGAACCAGTACCAACGAACAGTACGTTCACTACCGACCAACAGTGTGAAGACCATTTTATTCGTACAACAACTCGCGATAGTACAGGTAGATACTCATTAGCACTACCATTCAGTATGGACCCATCGTGTCTTGGCGATTCTCGGGACATGGCGATATCACGGTTCTATAATTTGGAACGTAAATTGTTGAAAGACCCGCAGGTATATGAGCACTATCGCCTGTTCATGCTCGAGTATGAAAACCTTGGTCACATGAAGATGTCTTCAAAACCGGGAAAATATTATGTTCCCCATCATGCTGTGGTGAAACGAGATGGACCAAAAATGAAACTTCGAGTGGTCTTCGACGCTTCGGCCAAGTCGTCTTCGGGAAAGTCATTGAACGATTTGCTCCATGTTGGACCTAAGTTACAGACAGATATCACCGAATTGTTACACCGTTCTCGTTTCAACCAATATATATTCACCGCGGACATTTGTAAAATGTACCGCCAAATCAGAATTCATACAGAAGATTGTCAATACCAGCATATATTCTGGCGTGCAACACCACAAGAACCCCTACGTGACTATGAGCTTACGACGATTACGTATGGACTCACGTCGTCTCCGTTCCAAGCGATTCGAGTGTTGCACGAATTAGAGCAAAACGATGGACATCTTTATCCGACAACCGGTAATGTTTTGTCAACACAAACCTACGTTGACGATATTCTGACTGGTCGCAATAGCGTTAAAGATTTACTTGAACTACAGGACGAAATCACCGAGATGCTCGGCCGAGGTGGTTTTGAGTTAAAAAAATGGTCGTCAAACTGTAAGGAATTACTCTCTAAAGTTCCAAATGAAGATCAAGCTAATAGTTTGTCTTTTGATCCTAAAGACGATGCGGGAGTAAGAATACTTGGATTACATTGGAATCCAGCTGCCGACACCTTTACCTATCATACGTCCTCCATAATATCTAATATTCATACCAAAAGATCAGTGTTGTCAACGATCGCCAAACTATATGATCCTCTTGGTGCTCTTGCTCCCATCATATTTTGGGCCAAATGCTTCATGCAGTTACTCTGGCAAGCGGGTCTTCAATGGGACGAGCCATTACCGTCACACTTAATTGACCTGTGGAAACAGTACGAGTCTGAATTGCACATGGTCTCGGGGATAAAAATTTGTCGCCATATTCCCACCGAGAAGCTCACTAGCGTGCAACTTATTGGTTTTTCAGATGCATCGGAGAAAGGTTATGCCGCCGTGGTCTATTTGCGCACTATTCACCAGGATGGGCGTGTACTAATACATTTTATTACTGCCAAATCAAAGGTTTCACCCTCCAAGACTAGCAACACCAAGACCACGTTGACTATACCACGCTTGGAACTGTGCGGTGCACTATTATTAGCACAAGTGCTACATCGGTTAACCAACACATTTAAAGGTAATATAGTTATCTCAGAAACATTAGCCTGGACAGATTCATCTATAGTACTATCATGGCTCACGTCACCTCAGTCAAGTTTTAAAATATTCGTAACCAACAGACTTGCAAAAATTGCCGAAATTTTACCAACTTGTCAGTGGCGACATGTTGTGTCGGAGTCAAACCCAGCGGATTGTGTATCAAGAGGTTTATTCCCATCACAGGTTCATGACCAACATTTATATTGGCAGGGGCCTCCGTTTTTAAAATTACCGGACTCTGAATGGCCAATCACATCGTTCAAACCAATTCAACCATCACACTTGCCAGATTATTCGGATCCAACAAACGCGTGCTTAATGGTGGTGCCGGAAAAGGAAGTTGAATGGTTCACACGTTTTTCGTCATTGAAACGTATGCAACGCGTCACCGCCATCATGTATCGGTTTATAAGGCATACGCGAACGAACCGTGTCCCATACGTCGCACCCAAATATATATTATATGACCCTATCTCCGATGAAGAAATTTCGAATGTGATGTTACCGATCATTCGTATGACACAATCAGTACACTTCGTAAGTTTGTTGAGGATCCTACAAGTACCAACTGCAAAGATAGTTCCTCGTTCAATTGCCCAACTTGCGCCGTTTATTGATAAAAACAACATTATACGGGTGGGTGGACGACTCCGAAATGCATTGGTATCACCAGAAACAAAAAACCCAATATTGTTGCCAAAATCAAGTACGTTGACTACACTCATTATTCGTAATTTCCACTGGAATCACTTCCACGCTGGACCTCAATTAATGTCATCGTTACTATCAAGTTATTATTGGATAATATCCAGTCGATCGGCCATACGTCACGTTATCTTCAAATGCGTTGTGTGTGCTCGCCATAGAGCGTCGGTTACTCATCCTATGATGGCCGACCTCCCATCCAGTCGAGTAACATTATGCCGACCATTTTTGCACGTTGGTATCGACTTTGCTGGACCACTTATCCTAGCTGAGAGCCGTCGTAAGAACTCACGATCAATAAAGTGTTACCTGTCTATCTTCGTGTGTATGACTATCAAAGCTGTACACATTGAAGTGGTTTCTGACCTTTCAACTAACACGTTTTTGGCGGCTTTACAACGCTTTGTCGCTCGACGTGGTACCCCATCAGACATTTACACTGACTGTGGAACGAACTTTAAAGGAGCAGATCAAGAAATACGTAACATAATGTTAGATTCCACCGCCAAGACAACATATACGAATGCGATTTCATGTAAGTGGCATTTTAACCCTCCTGCAGCCCCACATTTTGGTGGCCTGTGGGAGGCGGCTGTAAAATCCACAAAATATCACTTAAAACGAGTTGTGGGTACTCAACGGTTAACGTTTGAAGAAATGGTCACATTAACAAGTCGTATTGAAGCTCTACTCAATTCTCGACTGATAACTCCATTGTCTGCTGATCCTAATGATTATCGTGCACTAACTCCAGGTCACTTCCTTATTGGTCATCCAATGGTTGAAATACCAGAAAAGGACGTAATTGACATACCTCAAAATCGTCTCAATCGTTGGGAACTCCTACGACAAATGTATCAATCACTCTGGAAAAGATGGTCAACAGAGTACTTGTCATCGTTGCAACGACGCACAAAATGGGTAGACAATCAACCAAATGTTAAGGTTGACGATTTGGTATTGATAAACATGCCGAATCAACCACCTATACACTGGAAACTTGGTCGCATACAACAAGTTCACCCGGGTGCAGATGGTGTGGTCCGTGTAGCCACAGTGCGTACCGAACATGGAACCCTCACACGACCAATTGTCAAACTAGCCATCCTTCCTCTTGATAAGTGATTACTTCTATTCCTATTATTCTCCTGTTTACGTGGGTGTATTATTTGTATTATTAATTTGTATTTTATATTATTTTCGTGTATTTGCATTATATAATTATTACGGCAATATAACCGGTAAAATGCGTATTGGATGGACCGTGAAAAGGGGAGATGTTCAACAAAATGAAGGAAGACTAAAAAAAAAAAATTGAAAGCAACCTACCCTTTCAATGGGGGGAGTATGTTGCGTAGAGTCATATGCACGACGGCGTTATATGACGTAACGCACGTATATCGTAGCCGTGACTCTACGTCACGGCAAACCAGTCGTCGCACGGACAGCCACATTGTCACACATCGTCGCGACGATCTCAAAGGGAATAAATCCGTCGTTTATTATACTATTACATACATATTAATATTCAACGACAAAGTGATCCTATTATATCCTTGTGGTGCCAGCGTCATCATGCGCCTTGTCACATGTGATGCAATGAGTATTTATTGGTAATACACGTCCTATGTACACACCAATTTAAATACGATCTACATACGTCAACATTGTCCATCACCGTCACTTCACACATCTCAACTCATCAACCATTTTGGAGCTATTGCCAGGCCATCGCGCATACGGTTGTCGTGAGTCGGCTATACGCCATATTATTGTAACTGTACTTATATCTATTATTATACTTGCTATAACTTATTATTATTGTATTTTACTACTTGCTATTATTCTTCTTATTATTATTATTATTGCCATATTACTAACACCGTTTATATATGTAATGTGATTATTCGTATCAGCCTACACTAAACACCAGCGTTGTTATTCTTTCAACCACCTCTCGTCAAACACAGTAGAACTCTATGAGGTTCACCATCACCGGTAAATTTATATTCATCGCGTGGCCAACAATCTCGTTACCTCTTTAACGAGACTTAGTACGCATCAACTATTGTGATTATCTTTTAGGATACCGTCTTCCTTTAAATCATATTTGTCTTCCTATATTAGAACTAAAAAAGAATATATTTACTAAATATTTTTACTTACGACAGGTCTCAACTTTGGATGAAAAAGCACATAACCATTATTTGTAACAACAAAAGCATAGCCATTTACACCAATCTAAAAAATCAAAAACAAATTTACTATATTTATTATCAAATTATGATTACTTTGACTGTAAATTTGAATAAATACTTAAAAAACCAAAAATTTAAAAACAAACAATTCATTTGAAAAAATACTAATTAAATAAGAGTATGTCACAGTCAAAATGCTCCTATTTTTATTACAAAAGTTTTGTTTTTTATCCTTATAATTTTATAATTTTGCAACTACCCAGTACTTAGAATGGTAATAATGTAGAACCACTTAAAAGTTACTTTGAATTAGAACCCCTTGAAAAAGAGCGTTCTACTAATCATTTTTATGTACAGAATTTATACTAGTATGCTTACTTTGTATGGAAGTGTTAGTTTTTCAAATTCAGCAATTGGTACATCAGTTCCAGCAACACCGAGCAAATCTCCTTTAACTCTAGTCTTAAATAAAATATACACATTTAAAAAAAATAATAATCGAGTTTATTGTAATTACTAAGTGCCTACTTAGGAAGTAGTTTAACTTGTTGAAAACTAAAATGTAGTTATTACCATATGCTTAAAACTACAATAAAAACAAATAAACGAAACCAACCTTATTATTTTCATCCCTTTTTTTTATTAAATATTGGTATAGAAATTGCAGTCATTGGCCTGTATTCTTGATAATTTCCTTCCTCATCTACACTCTGTACAACAATGTTCTAATATTATTATTTGGTATTCAATAAAATAAAAATGTAAGCCAATACTATAATGAATCAGTAAAACTTTGGGTTTCACACTAGGTACAAATTCTAAAGGTGTATTTATATACATTATAAATATTAAAATATATAATATACCAACATTAATGGTTGCAACTATTATTAGTCAATGTTGTGTTGTTTATTTCAGGGGATTGGAACCAACGAGTCTAATATTTAGGATTTTGGTTTGGATAGACACTGGTACACACGAGTTACCTCAGAGTTCAATATCAAATACTTAGAATCCATTTTATGTTGGTTAGGGAATTGTTTTTGTTCATTCAAATTAGCAGCGAGATCACTCATCTGCTTATCAAAATCCATTGAATTTTTTAATGCACTTGTTACATATGGATCCTAACAAAATGCTCTTAACATTAATTATAGCTATGAACTGGAACTTAAGTAGAACAGCTAATAACTTATGTTAGATATACAAATGTTTTCACTTACAGAAATGTCCATAAATGTATGGGACCATGTAACAGGATGTTTTTCAGCTTGTAATACTAAAGGTCTTGCTAAAACAGCGATGTATTTCAATACTCTTTCAAGTACTTCGTCTTTTGAATGTACGTGTGCAAAGCTACCTGCAAATATAAATTAATAAATATTGTTCAAACATTACACCCATTTTGTATAAGCGCTACTCTATAATAAGTAATTAGTGTAATTAAGATTAAGTTAATAATATAATGTTAACACAAACCTCTGTTTTCACAAGCTAGTCGCTGTAGTTCAGTAGTTCAGGTGTGGTAGTAATATCACGACCCATCATGTAAGTAAATATTCGGACTGGTATGTTTGTAAATTTATTATCATCAATGCGATTGTGCTTTTGTACAACATCAAAAAGTTCTTCATTAGGATCGTCATCCGTGACCAACATTATCATTTGATTACACGTTTCCTCAGAACACCTGTTGTTGTTTTTGTTCTGAAATAAAAGATTATTTACTAAAATTGTACATATTATTAGGTAGGAAGTCATACAGCAAAAACCCAATACATTATTTCTAAAAGCAATATTGTCTTACAGCCGATATTGTTTTATTTTCTAGTTTCTACAACTTGGAAAAAGATACATTATTTTGTTGTAAATAATAATTTTTGTTGTTCCTGCTTGCAATGCTTTTTAAGTATTTAATAGGTTTTACTTTAGTTTGAATACTACCTACATTAGATAAAAGTTGAAAAGCTTCAATAAATGCCTTGCTGTAGTTCGCTGTAGAAGATGGTAATAATCTTGGATCTTCAATTATAGCTTTATGAAATGTGTAAAGATTTTCAGGAGTAGCCTACAATATAAAAACTATTAAACATTACTAGTACTGATTAACGTTGAATAAATAATAATTTTGATTATTATTACCTGGACTAATAATTCTTTAAAGCAAGTTACTAAGTAAGTAAAACCAGTATTAAAAAAAATAATATTAATCGAATCATCATTATTGAATGTTTTTAATAGAGATTTAATTACAAGCTGAGAAATTGATTGATGCATGCCACTCATGGAACCGGAAATATCTAACAAAATTACTACATCCTTTGAACAAGTCGCAGCTTGTATGTACCACGGTCGCAGACGGGTGTCAAATACACTAGGTTTAGCCGACCATCTTATAGCTAAAAATAAAATAATATTAAACATCTATGTTCCTGTGCTGAATGTAGTATGATGACCATAAGAAAAAAATACTCTCATTTCTCATGACTCATACCATTGATTGTATAGTATTATTAAATAAATGGTCATACTTATCAGTATGTTTTATTGCTATAATAATGAGAGCTTTAACATAATATTACCAGGATAATGACGCATAAACCCTGCTGTACTTCCAAAATATTGCCAAGAAAGTGATGGATCACTGCGATAATTTTGTAAAAACACTTCGTCCATTTTTTCAGACCATTGTAAAGGTTTTTGGACATGTTCAACTGAAAATATTATTAGAATTTTAGAATTTTAGGTAAAAAAACGTAGAAACAATAAAAAGTACAAATATGTTTTTCAAATAATATTGTCGGTAAATAAACTGCGCTGTAATCAGTATTAACAGATAATCCATAAAAATGATCATTTTTTGTCAGGTTCATTGTTTTGAATTCTAATTGAATAATAATTTTTCCTAGATCCAAAGATATATTTGGGGTAGTTCGGTCGGTATCATTAGAATCGTCGATACCTTCAACTGGTGAATACTTTGCATTATAATAAGTGTAGTTCGAAATTCTATTTTCTCCATAGAATTTCCATTCAAATTCTTCAGATAAACGTTCTGCTGCATCCATAAGACACTACAAAATTATTTTATTATTCAATATAGTAATACAATTTAGTTGGAACATAGAATAAGATTTATTTACAGATACAGCTGTCATTTTCAATCTTATCATACGATTCATTGCAGTTTTTTGAAACGCTAAACACAATTTTAGACTATAGTTTAAAAATGTTATATGCATGTAATAATAAGAACACGATTAATACTATTATCTAGTGTATACCAATCTAATCTCATCAGATTTAGTTATATTTTGTCCCAGATACCACAATTCTTTTCCAAATGTCTCAGCCCAATTTTCCACCCTAAATTAAATTAAATAAGCAATAACTTTAAATGTTTGCATAAAGCAGGGAAAAAAATTATTGTAAGTATTACTTACAAAAGTTCTTCCAGATTACTCTTTTTATCATCTTGAACATCTATAGCGTATATAACAAATAGAACTGCAACGAGGAATGTACATACACTAACACAAATATTCATACTTAGAATTTTTACTTTATTCACTAACCAATGCAACTACACATTTAAACAGTTTTGGTTTCAGCACATTTTATAACCTTTAGGGATACACTCTTTAGCATATCTGTAATCTAAATATAGACACATATTGTATTCCCACTCTTGGATGGCAGCCAATTAACTTCAGAATTAACTCAACTTTTATTAATTTAGATATTATAGACAAAATTAGACGTCTTGAAATTTTAATTATTCAGTAACCTTTAGTAAAGGGCTTGCCTTCACCTTAAAAAAAAAAATCATAAAAAGTGTAGGTACCTATATTGAATAATTGAACAAACATTTATTTTTCTATGTTTATTTTATAATTTCTAACATTACATAAGATACAAACATAGGTGTGCACTTGGAGTAATGGGGTGTTCATGGTAGGCACTTGACTACTCTGCAAACTCCCCCCCACCCACACACATACACAATATTCACTGATATTGTGATATTCAATAATTTTATTTTTATTTATAAAATACTTTTTTAGAATGGTAAATTTAGTTAAATGAGGTTCTCCATCTAAATTAGTTATTATAACTTAGGAGTAAATATGAATATACATACATAATATGACGTGTGTGTGTTAATGTGTTATGTATGACTACCCTACAAGAAATGTCTGTGCAAGCTTATGTATACAAATATATAAGGCAATCATTATTTGAAAAATTACTTTCAATATTAGATGATATTCCTTGGTAATCAACAACAATTTTTTTTAAGAAAAATTAGACTAATTTAAAAGGACAACCACAATATTTTAATATTAATATTTCAATTAAACAACATTAACAAGGGTAAAATATACAGGAAAAATACAATAGTACATTAAATCAATTTATTGATGGTTCTTCAACTTTGTCAATCAATCCAAAAGTAACAGATTCGTCCGCACTCATGAAATGATAAGATTCCATACTAGCATCTAAAATATATATATATATATATATATATATATATATTATTTAAGCTATTTTTAATTCATATTAAATACTTAAATTTAGTAACTTAACAGGTTTACTTCCTATAAATGGACAGGGATAGATACCCCACATGACCCTTCTTTCGATGTTTAATAGCCGATAACCTTAATTATATTTTTTATGTTACAAAATCAACCATATCCCCCTCCTTTTCAAAATCATTTGACCGTCACTGTAGATCAGTACATCTGTACATCAGATAAAACTAGTGGGTAAGTAGGTTACAATTTACTGTACATTATGTGTCTATTATACCTTGTCATTGAGTAGGTAATAAGTGTGTTAAATATTAATTTAATTAAAAAAATACATGGGGGATACATGGTCTGTCAGCCTTATTATTAAGTGTATTTTATTATAAAATAGCTGTATTGCCTGAGGATAAAGAAAACCAAGATGTGCAATTAAAATGCAGCAGATAGTAATAACGAATATGCATTTTTGATTATATTATATATATTATGAACCTAACCACCCTGGTTCAATCTATTATCTAAAGTCTAAACCTTCCTTGAATCATAAAAATAGGTAAAATATATTTTTATTCTATAAGTTTCAGCCATACACTTTGCCTTTAAATTTTAATACATAATAGCTGTTACCCATGGCTTCTTTTCTAAAACACTTATAAAACACGATCTCAAAAATGTGCCAATTGGTCAATAACTGTGGATTTACATATGCTTTATTTAAATATAACCAGCCTAATATTATCTGTCTTAGGAAACTATCTATTATAATATATAATCTAAACATCTATTATTTCATTTTGCTTCAGTTACAATATTCTCAATCGTTTTTAGGCAGAATGGGTTGAATATTTTTTTAGTATACAAACCTCATATATAAATAAGTTAAGAATTATAAAATAATTAAAAAGTTAACAGTTAACTATAGAAAAAAAAAAACCTTGATTTATTTTACATAACTTATAATTTCAGATATTTTTGTTATAATGGAATAAACTTACCAATTTTATCTGCAGGCATTCCTGTGTATTTACCATAAATGTCTATTAACGATGATTTAAGTCTTAAAATTTCATCAGTTACAATTTTCATATCTGATGCTTTTCCCTGCAATAGTTTTAATAAACTGATTAAATTGATTTTTAATTCTTCACGTATCAAAGTAATTGAAAATGTATAAACATAATTAAATACACAAAAACATGATTTGACATACAAATAGTCTAAATATATTATAATAATATATTACTTAGGGTTTTAGTATGGTCAATTTTTATTTCTGAATTTCTATTCAGTAAATTTTAAAACAATGATAATATTTACTAGCAATTTGAAAGTTGTAACTTGGTTTAGAGTTGAATTGTATTTATAGAATAATACAAATGTATATAAAAAAATAATGTATTATATTGGGTACCTATACCTATGATATTATAATTTATAATTTTGGTTAATAGTTAGTTTTTAGTGAGTAATCAATAACTATAACTGGATAAAAGATAAAATTAAAATATACAATTCCATTAAGTTTCAACACTTATTCTATTTTATTTGTGTGTATAGAATATTTGAGTAGATGGTACAATCCAATCGGGGTATTAATTTACATAAATTATATGTACAATTACCATAGGCGTGTCTACGGTGGCAGCCTAGGGTGCCTGGGCTGCCCCTGCAATTTTTCACAGGTGCCGATCAACCGAGTTTTAAGTCAGAGGGTTATAACATTTCTTTTTCTTTTTTTTTAACTTGATTTTTTTGTGGGTAAGGGTATCGTTATAATTACCATTTACTTACAAAGATTGATTTCCTGACTTCCAAAATCAGAAAAACCCACTATAGAGACCTGAGACAGACGACGACGATACAGAACGCATCTAGGTATTATTGATATTATTGTTGTATTATTTTTTGTTTGTAGCTAGGTGGTGTGGGTAATCCAAGGATGATTAATATTTCTGGAGTTACCGTAGATTATTATTGTAAATAGATAATTTAGACTTTTTTTGAAATTATGGAAATATTTCATTGTGGAGGGGGGAGGGCTTAAAAAAATACGGCTTTGGGTGTACAGGGCTTTTTTCCGTTTACTATAATAAGCTACCGCCGGTTATTATCTAGGCTGCCCCTGCCAATGAAGTCTAGTCACGCCTATGACAATTAAATAATTTGTGGTGCATCACAGGTAATAAAATCATTGTTTGAAATTTCAAAATAAGCAAACATTATCAATAACATCATTTCAGATATAAATTAATTGAAACTAGATGGCCAACTAATAACTATTAAATATAATTTATATTTATATTTGTGACTTTGCTTCCTGTGCAGTTTCATTCATTAAAGTTTATTTAATCTTTTTTGAGTTTGAAATACACCCTTAAACCTAGCAAGTTTATTATATTATATCTACTTATTCAATATTAATATTTCTTAATTGATTTAATGTAATGTTTTACTAATATTTTCCAGACAAATAACAAATATAACTAAATGTACACAAACATATTTTGTTTATACAAACATAATAAATTCTATTTATATACAATTTAGTAACAAGTACCTGCATTCCGCCAGATGGCTGGTGAATCATGATCCTTGAATGAGGCAATGCATGCCTTTTACCCTTTGCCCCTGCGGCTAGTAAAACACTGCCCATACTACTAGCTTGTCCTATGCACCAAGTTGAAACATCTGGCTTAATATACATCATAGTGTCATAAATGCCTAGGCCAGCTGTAACACTACCACCGGGGCTGAACAAAAATCATACATTTATAATTCATATTATATTATTGTATACTTATACAAATAAAAAATATTTTACCTGTTAATATACATATTGATTGTGGCTTTTTGATTTTCAAATTGTAAAAACAATAACTGAGCTATTACCAATGAGGCGACATGATCATTGATCTAAGCAAAGTAAAATATTTGTTCACATAAACATGAAATAGATTATAATATAGTTTAAATGTAACTACCTCTCCCATAACGCAAATTATACGTTCCTTGAGAAGTCTAGAAAATATATCATAAGAACGTTCACCACGACCGGTTTGTTCTACTACAATTGGTATAGTCAATCCACGAATACTATTGGAAATCGGGCCATTACTCAGTTGCAAAATTTTGCTCGAGTGCTGAAAATAAATTATTTGAAATTACAATATTCTGAACATTGCAATAAATTCATAACATAAGATTTATTTTTAATTTACATTTGTATAAACAAATAGGTGCAAACATTAATATGAACATCTATATTCTATACACTTTGATCAAGAATGAACAATTTTTTTTTTTGGTAATTAAATATTGTGTTTACAACAAAATAGTTGTTGTGTACATTGAATGTGAACACTATAAAGATCAAGTATCTATAATAGTTTACCTTCAATAAACTGCGAGTGTGTGACAAACTCATTTTTAATTTAAATTAATTCTTATATACTAAATATTAAATAGGTACCTAACTGAAAATTAAAATTACTTATAAAATAAATTTACAATAAGTAATAATAATATTAGTTCTCAGTTCTCACGAAACCTCAAATAGGAATATGATAACATTGATAACCGTTTATCTTTAATCTCGATGATCTCGGCTGTATCTGATAATAGTTTCACTGATAATATCAGCACAGAATATAATATTGTATTTGATACGTTCCCGGCACGATTAAAGATAGGTATACCTTTGATCTATAATAATTTATCTTTAATATATCTTTAATCGTGGTTCCTGGCTTAAGATCCTATGATTCTATCAATAACCGTGGATACGTCTATGAAAAACACATCGAAATTAAGATTAAACTTTATTCTTTAATCTTTATAGTTTATATCAATTCTCGATGGAAAAAAACTGAAAAATGTTCAATTTTAAATGTTCGTAAACAGCTCAAAACGATCAAATAGGTATAGAAAATTATTAAAAAAAACATATTATAGTGAAAATTTCGATCATTCGAATTTGAATAACAACAAAATAATAAAATCACTCAATAAGAAATCGAGTGAGTATCCAATGATTCAAAATAGGTACTTTTTAAAATTTTATGATGTACCTATAAAAATTGCTAATTTAGTGAACTTTTCATGTATCTAGGTACGTGTAATTTTTTTTAGAGTTACACCAAAATCAAAATCGATTTTAAAAAACAGATTTTGCTTAAAAATTTTAATAAGTAATTTCGTCCAAATTTGAACTTAAAATGACTATAAAAATAAACTGTGCTTGTGTATTTTTTAGATTTTTTGGTATGCTAATATAAACATTCAGTGAAATTTTCATGTATCTACAGTTTCTTGTTTTTGAATTACACAAAAATAAGGAAATCGCTATATGAGAAATCGAGTGAACATCCAATGTTTTAAAAATTTGAATTTCAAACGCTCATAACAATTTAATTTAACTTTCTTATAGACATTTTTTTTTGATAAAGGTAGAAAATCTTATAAGGAATCTTATATTACATTTTAAAATCTTAGATTTAAAAAGAACAATTTTTACGATTTCTTAACTCAAAATAATTTGCTAATTTTCGTGATTTTTCAATATTTTGTCAATTTTTGAACTTTAAATGCTAATAAAAAAAAACTGTGACTAAGGATTTTTAATATTTTGCATCTGCCTTTGAAACAATAGACTAGGAGCCTTCTATTAAATTTTCAAGTATTTTTACTCAACAAATACAATTTTATTGATATTCATAAAAAAAAAAACCTAATAAAATTGGAACCTGAAAATGTCCCTAAAAAGTTCAAAGTATTTTGAAAATGTTATCGTGTAATGCAAATATAAACAATCAGTGAAAATTCCATGTATTGATGTATCTACGGTCATTTGTTTTAAAGTTACACCCAAAACCAAATTCGATTTTGCTTAAAAATTCCCGTTTTTCTTTTGTTTTTCTTGGCGCTTTTGAAAATTCTGGGAATATTAAACTCTGACCTCCCCAATGCACCAACGATATTCACTTTCCAATCAAACAAGGTACTGAAATTGAAAATCGAAACATTAATTTGACTACTTATCGTGTACACAGACACAAATAAAAAAAAATTAAAATTAAAAAAAACACACATCATTGTAAAATCAATACATTCATCGTTCCACTTAGAATCTAAAATAGTTATTATAATTAGAAAATATAACATGGTGAAACATTTTAAAGTATTTTACTATTCTGAAATAATAATAATAAAAAATAATACCATAAAAAAAGTTTATAATTGAAAATTATTTTTTTACAAATATCACCTAATATACACCTTAATATATAATGTTAATTTAGGCATCAATAGAGTGCAATAATAACGAGATGATTTAAATATTGAAACATTTTGTATCAAAATAAAAATACAAACCCTACACAATTATTAAAAACAAGTGATTAGCGATCGTCTACAGTTGCAATAAAAATAGTCAATTCAAATCAGCTATAAGGACAAAGTTTATATTATCCGGCAATAACCCGCCAACGGTCTATATTCTAGATTCTCGTAACTATTGAACAAAGGGGGGCATTAACTTGTTAAAAAGTATACTGATTTGTCAAGTTTTTTACGATTTTGCTAATTTATTTTCGAATTATATATTATAATAAACTCATTTTTTACACAGTGTTAAATATCTTGGTAAATGTCTGTGTATAACAAAATATTGTGATGGTTTATGATTTAAAAATATCGTAAATTCAAAAAAATTAATTTTTTTTTAACTGAGATAAGTTAATTTTATTTTCTGTCTTAACTTTATACTTATCGAGTTAAATTTTTTTTTCTTTATTAACTTTTAACTCAACTGAAGGCAATTTAATTGAATTATCTTAACTTTCCACAGTTAATTATTTTCATTAACTAGCCCACCATTGCTATTGAATGTAGAAACGTGATGGAAACAACAGGTGCTAGATGTTGTTCACTGCTTAAACGTACATTTGTAATCTATGTCTGCAATCTAGTATACGCAGTATATTTATTGTAATGCAGTAATATATGCAATCATATTTATTACAATGTAGTAAACGGTTGCTTGGCTTACTACAATAATTTTATTATGCGAGGGCCGAGGAGTTTGTTGGAGCGGGTTTGCACATCGATCTCGTCGCTAATATATTGGCAACAAAATAATACGCTCATCGATGAGTAAAATCTTAGTTCATATACTATGGATCCATAGTATATAAACTAAGATTTTACCGAACCTTGATGATCTTTCGGAGCACAGCAGGCTGCAGTTTGCTGTTTGGTTTTGTTTTTGCTCAATAATTATGATAATAGATTAAATTCTGTTATCGTGATGTATTACAAATTACGATGGAATATCGCATAGGGCAAATGGCAATGAATGAAATATACATTTTGATTAATCAATTCAGTTTTTTTTTTGATAGTTAATCTTTATAAAATATTATACTTTTCAGTTTTCTTGAAAAAATAATTCTTACAATTCCAATATGCCTTCTCGATAATATTTTTCAAATTGATTTACAAAATACCAAGGGGTTAATTTCTGTGTCTGGTTGTGCAGGGAATACGCGTCATATGCGCGCTCAGCACTTTTGGGGATTTCCACCAGTGGCGTATATAGGGGGAGGCCCCCTAGGCCAGAGCCCATAGTGAAATTGCAGGTACAATTAAACCATTTTATGTATATATACACTGTTTACAGTTTTTCACCATGATTAATTTAGCCGGTTGATTAAAATCGTTTTGAGGAATCAACAAGGAAATCGTCAGGACTTGCTTTGATGACTTTTATGTGTTAAATTCACAATAAGATAACATTAAAATGTATATGTATATACGAAATTATCTATATTTTTTAAAAAAGAATTAAAAATCAATTTCACATAATAATTATAAAATTTAATTTGCGCAATTTTTATTAGTACTTATAACCACCCTGCTCCTTAAAAAATGTATAGTTATGGCTATGTTAGTCCGTTTGACGCGCTATGCTGACTACTGACTAGTGATAAATTGGCCCATAGTGAAAATAATTTGTACTGATTGACTATCAATATATCTACGCCACTGATTTCCACTTTACCACTCGGAACTTTTAGGGATTTAAACTTTACATATTATACTTAAATATACTTATTACTTATATATTTTATTAATTATATTAATTATAAATGCATAATATACGTAAAGTGCAGTCAATCCTGGATGAAGACATTTTGAGGCCAAGGGGCCAAAGTTTTAAATGAGGCCCCTATACGAAGAAAAATATAATTATAATATATTAATATATATATTATTTAATATTAGGTACCTGTTATAATTAATATATACGTATATATATATATATTAGAGGTCAGCACGGCCGGGCTAATAATTTACAGCCCGGCCCAGCTCGGTAAAATTTTTTGACAACCCGACCCGGCCTGGGTATAGTTTGTTGTGAGTAAGGCCGGCCCGCAAATAGTTTTTGGCGAGTAAGCCCGGCCCGATCCGACCCTGTCCTTCGCAATGCCAATCTAAAAATTGTACGGATCAAGCAAGGCACGGTTAAGCCCATTTTCGTCCAGCATGGCCCTGGTAAAATATTTTGTGAGATAGCCCAATCCGAAATTTTTGTAGTTTTTAAGTAGATACTAAATACTAGATACTAGATAGTAGATACCTCTTATTATCTTTTAAAAGATTATTTTTTTCAAAAATGATAAAATAGTTTAGGAACTAGGTAGTGGATAGTAGATAACATATACCTCTTAATAGGTCTATGGTAGATACCCGGTAACTGTTTTAATTTACATAAACTTTCAAAAGTCGCATTCAAGAAATCCTGATTGCACCAACACGTTGAGCATAAAAATACCTACAAATATCACACAATACACTCGTCTACTTCACTTGTCCATAATTTATATTCGATAGTACAACATATTTTTTTTTTGTTTATAATTTTGGAAATGTTAGAATTTCTAATTTTTCATAGAAGCCCGGCCCGGCCCGGCTAGTAACTATTTAGTCCTAATAGAGGTTTCTTGCGTTTTATACAATCCGGGCCGGCCCTAAGCCCATCCGTGCAGGGCCAATTCCTGGTCGGTCTGGGTAAACCCGCCCCGTGCAGGTCTTTAAATTATATATATATATATGTAAATGTAAGTATACGTATTAAGTACACATCCATTAAATAATGAATAATGTACCTATCGGCTATCACTTTATTTATAAGTTATACATAATTTACAAGCTTATTTCCTGATCATTTTTTTTAGGTGATTAATGCAGTGTTACAGCCTACAACGAAAAAAGTAATAGTAATGGGCATATCTGAGGCGCCTGAATAAATTCTAAATATTTATAGCCACGCCCACCACCCTGGACCCCCCCCCCTTAAAGCAGGCTTGAATGTTAGGTTTATTTATGTTATTTTGTAATTTATTTTATTACCTACTTTCCCGTAAAATATTTTCTTGCGTAGCCGCGTAGGTACCTAATAATTTCCCGACTATTACCCAAGTACCTACTTAATATTTTTCCGACTTTTTTTATTCCCGTTGAATACTTTCCCGATCTATTCATTCCTACGTAATAATATCGTACGTGTGTAATTTTTCTCGTGTAAATGTGTAATGCAGCAGATGCTCTTTATAATAAAGGCCCGTTTCATAGCCACACGTAAGAATCTACGATAAGCGCGCGTACCGAACGAGTAGCTGTGAAATAGGTATAAAACAATAAGTATACAACAATTAGTGTAAATGTGTTTGAAATTATTTTACGCGGGAAAGTATTCTTCGTAGCCCTAATGAAAAATGGCCACTAGGGCGCGTGACCGTCAAGCTTCTAGTTCCGCTGGCGGCTGGTCGGTTGTCTTTTGTTTACGTCGTAATTTAGGTTATGGAGAATATTGTTATTTTTTTTTTTTGCCGTGCGTGTTTGTCCGGCTAAATAATAAATCGGCGCTTTTCAGACATTAATTTTGAACAATACAAATAATATCTCATCAAACTCGTGACCGTGAAATCAAAAAGTTAAGTTTTTCTTGGTTTCATCTATGTGCTTTGTACAGTACTCGGCGAGATTGCAGTCTGGTAGACATTATTATGTATGTATTATACTTTAAGCATAATATACCTTTAAAAAATACGACACGCAATGCCTAACCACCCGACTGTTCTATAGATGACTGCCACGAGAAAACTTACACCTCAAAACACAATCATCGGTCTACGGGATACCGGAATACAACAGGTGTCGTATACATTCCAAGACTGACAGGCAACCCACGTCCATTGATCGAGTTCTCTGTTCGAAGTTCCAACTGCGTAGTACAATACAGATAACTGTCAACTGATTAGGCTAACTTCAATACCTGACTTGTGACATTTATTGGTCTCGTTTTAAAAATGCGCAAGTGTATAGTGTGCGGAAATACATCTAATAACACCAATGTCAATCGTCAAGGAGAATCACCAAGACGGTCATCTAGACTTACTAGAAACAATGAGGATATGAGTAATAAAAATATGCTGGTCAGTAAATAAGTATTAATATTTTTTATAAGTATTGTCAATACAGTCTGATATCTTTATCTTTTTTATGATTTTCCATGCTTTCCTTATTGGTCGGGCCTTGGTCTTCAACGTCCTGGATTCTCTTTTTTTTTAGTAATTTAGTGCTTCTAATAAGACATCAGCATTATTCTTGTCCATTTATATTTATAAAATAGTTATCTGTGTTCTTTTTTTTACGATTATGCGGTATTTAAGCGAGTTTTTTATTTTTGTTATATTATATACACATAATTTGTTAAAAAATTGATCTATTGTAATCCATGGTAAGAACATTATCTGTGTTCGTATGTTGGTTACACAGATAACAAATGTCCGTGTGGCATCCTTTTAATTGATTCCTATTTTTCTTACAGATTAAAACTACCTACAAAATACAGATATTATAAAGAAAAGTATAAAAAGTAGCGTTCCATTAATTTTAAATTAAACATTCAGAAAATAAATGATTTTTTGAGTGCATATTTGAAAATTTTAATGCATACTGTATATTAATATATTTATGCATTTTTAAGATTTTTTTAGCGCCTTTATAGTTGGTTATTAATGCATACAAATCCGTGCTCCAGTTATAAGTATTTCTAACTCTGACAAATGAATGTTTAAACACTCCATATAATATTATGCTTATGTAATTCAAAATGTATGTTTTAGGTTAAAAAAACCTAAAATGGCTTATGGTATAATATCTATTATATATATGTTAAAAAATATTGTTTTGTAACAAGTTAATATTATGTAAATAAATTTATTTCAAAAACATTTATTTTCTGAAATAACGAGTGTCTTAAGTTAGATGGAAAAATCCTATATATTAGTTACTTATTAAAATAGCTTATATTTTAGTTATATTTTATTTTATAGATTGCTGAAAAGAGAGAACTTGTATTACAACTAAGAAAAACCATGGCAGAAACTAAAAGAAATCGTCAACACAGACTCCATAGACTCAGAACCATCCAGAATTTAATAATTATTTTTTTTTATTATAATTTATATTCATAATTTATTATTATTATTTTTTAATTAAATATTTATTCATATATGAATTATTCTGTACATGCAGAGTTTTGGCCACCTGCATAATTTTTATTATTATTTTTATTTTTATTTACTATTACCATATTTTTATATATTTGATTGATATATTTTGATTTTTTGTATAATCATAAATATATAATTTTTTTATAATCACAAATGTATAATGTATTATTAATCGTACATTTTTATATAAATTATTGGTTATCGAAAATACAAAATTTAAGTGGCGGGCGTTAACTAAACTTGAGCTGCGGGGGAGTTGCCTTCCTGGCAGGGGTCAATAAGATCAGTACCAAAAAATCCATAAATAAAGAAATATGGCTCGAAAATCAAATCGACTAAATTTTGCAAAAATATGTAACATAAAATTACAGATTTGGATTAGTTGTAACATAAAATAAGTTTCAAATTTGTATCTCGTTGACATTTTTTTTTCTTTTAAACATACTAAACAATATTATGTAAAATATTGTATGAATATATTTTTATTTATTTATTAATTCTAACATATTATACATTCAATCATACATTTTAGATGAGTGGGGTACAACAGTTTTTATTTTATATCTAAAATAGTAGAATTTGAGTTACCTATAAAAAAAAAAAGGAAGCCACACTGTATCTAAAAGGAAAATATTATACAAATTTATTATCGGTTTAATATTTGTTATTATTAATTATAAATCAAAAATTTTCAGAATTTATAAAAAATAAAACGTTTGGTTTTGTGAATACTTTATTTTTATGGGCCCAATGTATGAGTAATAATATAACAAATGTGTGTAAAAATACCATTTAGTAAATAAATTATTAGTACCCACATTGTTTATCCAATAATATAAATCTAAAAAAAACTGATTTCCTATAAAGTATAAAATTTTTAATAGGTATTAGTAGTATAGGGGTCACTATGGTACACTTTCATTTTAAATGCAATAATTATTAAATTATTTTGCAAATCGTGAAACGCAATAATTATTAAAATATTTTGCAAATCGTGAAACGCAATAATTATTAAAATATTTTTTCATACAAATTGAAACGCAATATTTCCTAAAATATTTTTTCATAGAAATTGAAACGCAATATTCCTTTAATTATTTTGCAAATCGTGAAACGCAATAATTATTAAAATATTTTTCAAAAAATCTGAAATGCAAAAATACTAAAAATAATTTTCATAGAAATTGAAATGCAAAAAATACTAAAAATATTTTCCTATGGGGGACTTCGGCACACGTGACATTTAAATGCAATAATTACTTAAAATATTTTTCAAAAATCTGAAATGCAACAAACATTTTTAATAGAATTGTTCTATCAAAAATAAAAATCGAAATAGCATATTTAATTGCAAAATGTATTAAAAAGAAATTGAAAAAATTAATTTAAAAATTAAAAATATAATAAATAATAAAAATAATGGAAACAACTATCAAAGATTTTAATAAATTACAAGAAAATGAAATGCAAAACGAAATAGAAAAATCATTATTAAATAATGAAATCTTTGTTAAGTTCTGTAAATATGAATACTATAAAACTAATAATAAAAAAAATATTAAAATCATGAAATATAATCTAAATAAAATTCCAATTAAAGAAATATTTAATTGTCGATCATGGACACAATATTGAAATATAACAAAAAAGCCTGAGATGCCCTGGGCAATAATCTTTCCTTTGAATTCTATGATGTGTTTTTTTATTTTTTTATTTTTGTGTCTGTGTACACGATAAGTAGTCGAAATAATGCTTCGATTTTCGACTTCAGTATCTTGTTCGATTGGAAAGTGAATATCATTGAGGAGGTCAAAATTTAAAATTCCCAGTACTTTTCAAAAGCGCCAAGAAAAACAAAAGAAAAATTAAGGAAAAACGGGAATTTTTACGGAAAATCGATTTTTCAGAAAATTAAATTTGGTTTAATAATATTGATAAAGTATATTGTGTGACAAGGGCCCAAAACTGAAATTGCCTTTCCGCACGAGCCACACATTACACATACTATTTTTTCTGAGTTCATCGCTGCAAAGGTAATGCTAGGATAGGATCTATGCAACAACCAGACTATTCTACGAAAACAATATTTTACGAAAGAAACGATTGAGTTTTATTTTATGCGTCATGCATGTATCCATGTATGTCATTAATCATAATATGAATATAAGATGTAACCATAATAATTATTATATTAAAATATAATAAGAATAAAAAAATGTAATTATGGCAAAGGTATTCGGTAATACGGAGGCCGAATCTATGCAAAAACCACGAACAACAAATATCTGGCAACAAAATTTGGCCTTAAAAACATGCTTTCGTACTTAGTTTTCACTTAAAAACTGAGTTATGACTTTATGAGCGATTTTAATTTACGTTATATTATATACGCATAACTTGCTAAAAAATTGAAACCCAATCACAAACACAGATAATGTTGAGGGGCTATATTATTGCCGAAAATATTTCAGCCGCCGCGAAGCAAAGAACGGCTCCTTCCGCATGAGACCCTGGTACCACAAACGCGGTTTTCGCTCCGTCAACCGTCGAACCGCGGTCGCTTGACTTCGCGGTCCCTTTGCCGCTTACCGCCCGCCACGGTCGCCTAACGCCGTTCGCTGCCACTGTTCAACTGTGCGCCCTCGTCGATCTCGAATTCTCGAGTCTCGAACTCTCGACCGCCGCGCCGTGCCGCCGCGGGCCGTCCATCTCGCTTTCACTCGGTTTTTTCCCCGTTGATTTCATTTTCATTTTTCATTCGTTTGCCCCCGCTGTTCCCATAGACAGACCGCGCGATCGTGACCTGTGTACATTTTCGGGAAATCTAATGAAAACATTAAAAAAGTGACCCATACACACAGACTTCTATATAAATGTATTATATAGAAGTCTGTGCCCATACACCATCGTTCAAAATGTCTTCTTCGCCGCCGCATCGCCCAAATTTTTACGCTGGTTACGGAATAACGTTTGATAAACCCCGAAAACCGTTTAGAATACTGTGGATAAACGATATTCGGATCGCGAATCTAAACTGTTTATGGTCTAATGTTTGTATCTTACACTTTTGAGAATACGCGTAGGTACCTACTTACGTTGCCACCGCCAAACTGTTCGCGGCCAAATAAAATAAATAAATAGGTTGAAAGTTGTTGTTTTCGTGGAGATGTAAAATATAGCCCCGTGATCATAGATACTAGTTTAAATAGTTTAATTAAAATAATTTGACTATAATTTATTCATTATATAATATGGTCAAACTTAAACATCTCTTGATTCTTAATTTCTAAAAGGTATATTAGATTTACGTTTTAGATTCTGAGTGAAACGATGAATGTATTGATTTTACAATGATGTGTGTTTTTTTTTTTAATTTTTTTTTAAATTTTTTTTTGTGTCTGTCATCACGTTTTAGGACAGTAAAAGTGCTTGGATTTTCTTCAACAGTAGCTTTTCTGATAGGAAAGTGAATCTAGTTGGTACTTTGGGGGGGTCAAAAGTAAAAATTTCTCAATAGTTTTCAAAAGCGCCGTGAAAAACAAAAGAAAAATTAAGGAAAAACGGGAATTTTTACGCAAAATCTGTTTTCCAAAAATCGATTTTGGTTTTTTGTGTAACTCTAAAACAAATGAACGTATATACATGAAATTTTCACTGGCTGTTTGTATTTGCATTTTCTATACACGATAACATTTTCAAAATATTTTGATTTATTTTGAACTGTTTAGGGACATTTTCATTTTCTATTTTTTTTTAGTTTTTTTTCTAAAAATATCAATAAAATTTTATTTGTTGGTTGCGAAAGCTTGAAAATTTAATAGAATTTTTTTTTTTTTTGGAACTTATGTAGCTCATCGAGTTAAGAACGATGGTGCAATCAGAATTTGTCGCTCTCACTTAGTTTCGAAGTTATGGCCTTCCAAAGTTTTCAATTTTACGTCTTTACGCATGCGCTCACCACTACTCTATAATGCCGCGAGGAGGACTATTTTTGTTATTTTTTGTACTTACGTATTCTAACCTGTTTAAAACGATAGTGCAATAATAATTTATCCCCCGATTTGCTATGAAACACCTTCCCAAGTGGGTCACAGGGTTAAGAAAATTGCTTTTTTGTTGCACCGAGTAACCGAGCGGGGTCACTCACTCGCTGCGCTCGCTCGGACAATTAAAAACGAAAATATCCCCCGATTTGCTATGCAACACCTCCCCAAGTGGGTCACAGGGTTTAGAAAATTGCATTTTTGTTGCACCAAGTCACCGAAAGGGGCCACTCGCTCGCTGCGCTCGCTCGGACAATTAAAAACGAAAATATCCCCCGATTTGCTAAGCAACACCTCCCCAAGTGGGTCACAGGGTTAAGAAAATTGCATTTTCACAATTAAAAGTATTCCTTTCCTGGAAGTAGAAATAGTCAATCTGGTTTAAATAAATTATCGCATTATACCTATAGTAGGTACCTACCTACCTGATAATAATTAATTATAATAATCATTCAATTATAAATACGATTTTAGATTATATTATACTATTAAAGAAACTATATTTTAATACACAATTAAAATGTCATTACGTCAAGTGCTGCGTTCTAGTGAAGTTGACCTCTCTTAGTCCCGCGTTTGTTCACTCGTTTATTTTTTACGAATAAGAAAAAAAAAATCGCGAAAGACGTGTCACGTAGCGTTGCGCTCATGTCTAAAATAACTCAAAATTGCTTACTTCCAAGGGCCATAACTTCGAAACTAAATGAGAGCGACAAATTCTGATTGCACCATCGTTCTTAATTCGATGAGTTACATAAATTCCAAAAAAAAAAAAAAATCGAAAAATATGCATGGGGTGGTAAAGTGCACTTTAGCCTTAAATTTATGCGGCCTTTTGAAATATAAATTTTGTTTACTATTAAAATATGACTAATTATTACATGAGCTCAAAAAATAACATTTATTTTATATCAAATC